TTTTAAACCTCATTTAAGCATATTAATGTTCTGCTCATATTAACTAATTAAACCAATTAAAATTAAGAATTAAGTAAATTATATATTCTTAAGTGAGGTAACCAAAGATTCTTTTTCTTATTCCATTCGTGTATCACATTCACTTATTTGATACTTTTGTTGCTATCTAATAAACTATTATTCTATATTTCACCCACTAACATACACTTTGTCGATTTTCGTTGTAGACAGCGACCTCCAGGCACTCAACTCATCTGACCATATTTTGACAATCTGTCAGCGGCCATATTGGTCTATATCTTTATATAAATATAAGTGTGGTAGAACGAAACTCACTATAGAATCAGCACAAATCTTGTCATAAACTCACACATTGTACTGTCGGCTAGTTTTATTTCATAACTATAAAGGGCCGGATAAGATTAGGAAAAAATTGCATTTTTTTATCCCATTTGGACGGAACAAAATACCGAATTGGCAACAGTACCTGTATATAATTACATAATTATAAATAGGTTATAAGGAAACGATACTTCAAGCTGGCGAATATTTAGTATTTCTCTCTTACGTAAAATCTCTTTATTATTTTTGTTTCGTGTATAAAATTGCCGTCCATTTTCTAAAATTGCAGCGAAGCCTAATCTCGAGAACTCGCGATTTAATCTCATTAAACGGCTAAATTGGGCACCATTTTTTTTCGTTTAGTTTGCTTCCGTTCGCTGCGCCGGAAATTTGCAAATTATTTTAAATAAAATCGTTTTCGCCCCGGCCATAATGCATAATTTAAGTCAAACATACGCTTCGCGTGTTCGTTGCGTAATAAAGTCAGGTAGAAAAAAAAGGCGTCCCTAAAACACTGTATACGTTGCGAAGAATATATGGGCGAATTTCCCGTTGCCATACGTTTTACACCATGAACTTTCATTAAAACGTAAACACGCAAATAAGGAGTAATAACCTCACTTTAGAGCTTTCCTGTAATTTACCATAACTCATCGAGCACAGATTTCGAATTGACTTCTCAAAAACATTCGAGAAATAAACTAAGCTTTCATTCAGACCATTTTAAGTCCCATTTAAGCAATCGAACTAAATGTGTTCAAGTCAATGGTTTCAAGATTCTAACTTGGGTCCCCCTTGTTTAATCTTTTCATCAACGATATATTAGAAATCATTTGTGGTAACTTTCTATTATTAACTTATGACATTCTCTTCTTGACGGCATCCTCTAAATAGACCGCACACTTTTACTGAGCTTAAAATAACATTTAACAAATAACTCACATTTAACACACATAATCTGACACTGGAGCGCCTGCGCACATTGATTATGAGCGCCAAATAATAATGCAAAGTGAGATAAAAAACTTTATAAGTGACCAAAAAGTATCCGAATAATGTTTATAGACTTTCAAGCGTATAGACTTTAAAGTGTTTTTTTTTTTGTAAACTCCACCTCCTCCAAATTTTAAAGTTACTTACGCTTCATTCAATTCATTTTTGTTTACCCTTTCCTTGGCGAATCTCAAATTCCCTGTTTAGGTAGACATAGATAAAAAAGATTCGTTTCGCACCCAATAGTTGTTGGAAGAGAAAAGTCATTTTTGTGTAACAGATTATGGTATTTTTTCTTACAAAATACTAACTAAAATTTTCTTATTGCGTAAATAAGACTTAGAAAATTGAATTCTTTCTCAATGCTGTTTTTATCTATTTTGTTCAGATATACTCTCACAATAATTAAAATGGTCTAATACAACATCCTGCAGACGTTTCGCCAAAATCTCACTTGGAATCTTCAATGCTCGCACTCCGAAAACACTTCGAACACTGGGAGGTTATCGGCGGTGCGTGCGATATTTATACCCTGCGCCGGAGATGGTAACGGTGCTGCTTGTGCTGGAGGGGAGGTCGCTCCGCCCCCCGAATTGTCGCTTTGTTAATTTCGCCCGATCGTAGTTGTGATGTCCCCGTTGGCTGCTGCGTACCGCTCTGCTGTTTGATTATCGTTCTCCACGTATTGGATAAATGCAGGAATATTAGCTATTTGTTTGCAAGTACCGAAATCAATTTTATGGCCTGTCTGATGTTGGTGCTGAAACACAGCAGATGTTGTTTGTTTGTTTCTTATGGCTAAACGATGTTCCTCGAGCCTGGCTCAAATCCTTCTGTTGGTCTGTCCCACATACGTCAGGCTGCACGATCCGCATGCTACACTGTATACTCCTTGGTTTTCCCGAGTAATTTTTTGTTTTGGGTTTCTTAGTATTGCTCCGATGCTATGATCAGGTTTATATGCCGTTGATATGTCGTGTTTCCGTAGTATTCGGCCGATTTTGTCAGTAACCCCTTTGATGTATGGCAGGACAGCGATCGATCTATATATATATATATATATATGTATATATATATATATATATATATATATATATATATATATATATATATATATATATATATATATATATATATATATATATATATATATATATATGTATATATATATATATATATATATATATATATATATATATATATATATATATATATATATATATATATATATATATATATATATATATATATATATATATATATATATATATATATATATATATATATATATATATATATATATATATATATATATATATATATATATATATATATATATATATATATATATATATATATATATATATATATATATATATTCCGGGATATCATCCGTTCGCTTGTTGAACTCCGACCGGAATCCTGCAGAAATTAATATTACCAATAATATGCCCATTTGTTTGTTTAACTTTATTTAATTTTTATGATAAAAAATATCTTAAAAACTACGTTGTGTATGAAAAACAAACAATAAAGAAAAAATTGTGTAATTTGCTGTAATAGGACAGGGCGGCCTTTTTATCTAATATAGCTTTTCATTAACAAAATCACTTGACAATTATATTTACTATGTTTCAAATAGATAAAAATGTTATTTTGGTAAATAAATTTTTACGTCCTGTATTACACAAACCGGGGTCAAAAATGGAAAATCTTAATAATATCTTAATATTTTCACACAATGAATCTGTTGACCCTTCTTTTCGACTCGCCTTGTATATGTCAGTCCGTAGATTCCAAGGGCTTGTCTCTGCCTTATTTAACCCGCTCGGGTAAAACTGAAATGCGTTTCCTTTTTCATACCGGCGGCCATTTATTCTTACTCGAAAACAAATACCGGACTGAAAAATTTAATAATGCCGTGATAAATTACCTTTACACATAGGTTAAATATATCATTTATTATTTCGGAATTATATAAAGGAACCCGCGGATTTTTCAATTCTTTCATCAAACAGAATCCCCGCCCCGCCGCCCCCAGAAACCATTAATTTCGAGTAATGGTTTGCGCGGTACCCTGTGCGGGTGTGTGTGTAATTAGAGAAAAATTGAATTTTCGTTAGTCAAGTTTTTCCGCGTTTGCTTATTAACTTTTTTGCTCTCGACCCGCGTTTTTAACGAACTCGTTACGACTTTAATTAAGTTAATATTTTTTTACATATCATTCAAATCCAGTTTGCCATGCAATTAAAGATAAATCTACGGTTGCGGAAATTATTGTCAATTTTGAAATAATTTCAGATAATTTACATATTTACATAATCGCTTGAACAAAATTTCGTTTAACCAAAATATTATATAAAAAAAAATCATTCATTTTTGCCTTTAAATCCTTTAAGAGCATATAAAAATTAAAAAATCCTATGGAAATGCATCATTTCATTTTCCGGATTTTAAAATAACCCAATAATTCAGACCACCCAAAACTGTTTTTAAATTTTTAATCATATTTCTAAGCGTAATGAAATATCCAACAGAAAATATTTTTTGCACGAAATTAGTATATAAATAATATTTTTTTGGCTTATTAAAAATAAGGAAAATTAGAAGTTATTACACTTACCGAAGGATTTTTATTTGGGTTCATATATAGCTGGTCTTAATAATGCTTGAAATTTTTAAATATACTTATTTATATTTCTAAAACTACTTTAATGTAAGATGTCGACTATTCTAATGTCGTAGAATGGAAATGACATTTTTCTGCTGGAAAATTTTTGTTTTTATGTTCAGAACAACATTTAGAATTTAGAACAAGCATGTAAGCAAAAATTGTGGTATATCCATATTCGCAAAGGATTCTAAAAGACAAAAGTAGAGCGCTTATTTATGTAAATGATTTCGCCTAAACGAAAGCTGAACCAGTTGCTTGAATTCCGACTAATACATGTCTGTCAAAGTATCAAATATATCAATAAATTTTCGTCTACCGTTTATTTCGAATGCACAAATATCAAATACAATTACGAATATGCCATTCATTTAGTAATAAATCATTTTGTGGTTAGGTCTCCTCTGCTTACCTAGTGTCTTATCATTGAGCTTATCTGGGTCTTTCAAGATGAAAAATTGACTTTTTGACATATTAAATGTCTCAATTTTTTTCGAAATACATTCAATAAACGTTAATAAAGTTTTTTTTTCAGAGTTGATTCACTACTATTATACTCGTTATCTGTTTGGTACTAAGCACATACCTTTTAAATTATTGCCAGCTAGCAAACAGTAATAACATCATTAATTTAATAATTTCACCTACTAATGTCTCAGACGATTGATATCATTTCAGTCAATAAGACTCGTTAATTTCAAGTCAGATGATGCCGTTTGAAGAACACCATATCCCATCGTAATGACACTTATTCAAATTCTTTAGATTCGTTTTTGACTCAAAAATATCTTCTCCTGGTTTAGATAGGTTTTTTGTTTTCTAATGTAATTTATCAAATAAAAAAAACCTTTGTGAAAATGTCTGATCGGTATTATTCGGCAACAAGCGATTTCAAAATTCAACATAAATTGGGCTGCAATCATTTGGTTTTGACCGTACGCCGTGTTTCTTTGGGTTCAAGAGACGAAGTCTAACACATACTACTTTTATATAGGGTGCCTCGATCGGTGTTATTTCGAGCCACGCCATTATTTTATGGATTACCTTCGGCGGGCTTACCGTCAAAAAGGAACACGTTATCCTTCCATTGAACACGGACGGCTGCTCGAATTCGTCATTCAACGATCACATTTTGAAGCCAGAACACAGGGTGTTGTCCTGGACACCGACCACCACCCCAGCACCGTTTAATAACAGTTTTGCCACCCGAGCTGAGCCTTCGTAAGTAGAAAATTAAATTAAATATACAGGGTGTTCACTCTACGGGAGAAAACTAAACATTGTTATTTTCTTACATTTTTGGCCTCAAAGTTTTAGGAAGATGTCCAAGAATTTGCTAGACCCACTCAAAAATATACTTACATACAACAAACAAAATAGAACGCAAGATGGTTTGTTTAATTTTCATTGATTAATTGACTGCATGCGGGATTCATTTTCAATCAATATTTAAAAAACTTTGGATTATGCCAAAAATTGATCCTATGTTTTCAAGGTTTTATTTAATATTTTCACTTATGAAGTACCTACCAAAAAACAATTGATTTCTAAATTCATTAATTAGTCAATTAGTTGCAATAAAATGTTCCTCAGTTGAATATTTCTGCGTTACGTGAGATTAAATCGCTCACTGGGTGCAATAGTGGCACATCCACAAAGTAATAGTTCCGAGAAAATCAGTGATTTAGGAAGATTTAGAAAAAAATGACTCAACTTTCGTACTTATTACAAAATTTATAGTGATATATTTTTTTTAAGTCTCTTTTTAAAACAAAAAAAAGAGGTTCTTTTTTAAATTTTGTACCGTTATTGATTTTTTTTTGCACACCTCAATTTCACAAATAAAGTGCAATATTTTGCTAAAAAAATATGATACGACAGGTTTATTTGCGAGATAGGTACATAGAAGTATCTTAAAACAAAACTGGAAATTAATAAAACACTAAAAAATGTGCCTTTATAAACTTTGGCACGTAGAATTATCATGGCACGTAAACAAAAGCTAAGCTATTCTACAGTAAAAGCGACAACCAACTGATCTGGTTTTCGGAAAATAAATAAAAAGTACTATTTTTAAAATAACTAAAAATCCCTGACATTTCAGTCTTTGGCACCTTTCAGGCTATTATAAAAGTGACTGTGACATTTTTTAATAGCATTACTTTTTACCAAATGTATGAAGTCATTAAACTTTTTCTTTGGAATTGGTATAATATCCCGATAAGCACGGTCATTTTTCTTTGCGTAATGCTTTTGCTTCTGCAGTTAGTTTCACTAAAAGATGAATTATAGCAAAATGCGTCAGCAGCATTTTTTCTACTTTCAAAACAGACGCGTCAGTTATTTTAACAATACCGTCTGAACGGTCCCAATGAAAGTTTGAGTTACTAGTTTTTTAAAATAAAAAAGAATCATCATTTCTACGACTTTATAAGGAGTTTCCGTCTTTTGTTACCAACATTATGTACTCTGCGGCGATTATAGACATAGGGTTATGTGCCTGTGTTACGCGTAAGTGGCACTAACTGTCTCTAGCGAAACTGAAGTAAGATCACTATTTTGCCGGCATTGTTCGTTGTTAAAATTATTGCACCCAGTATTCCAAATGTTATTCTTTTATTACTCAACCGTTACTAATATGGCGACATCTTGTGTTGCAGAGATCCACTCTCCGCGATATACTCCATCACCTACATGTACTACAGCTTCATAGGCTGCTTTCTTACCGTCCTCATTGGCTGGACGATTTCCTACTTTACCGCCAGCGAAAGCGATATATACGATCGCGAACTGATTCATCCTATTGCCCGCAAGATGGCGGACTATTTGCCGGGAAAGAAGCGCCGTTATATCGAGACCATGGTGCCTTCCGATAGAGACGGCAAGCCCGAAAAATCCAGTCGTAATGGTTCAGCAACCATCCACCCATCCGCCAGTACAAGCGTTTTGGAAAACGGCAGCCGGAAAACGAGTTCAAACGACATTCAGCATTCCGCCAGTACTGGTAATTTGGAAAACGGACCTAAAAAGGGATCGGTGAATCTTAGTTTCATGCATGACATGCCGATGGAAGAAGTCAACGGCACATACAAGACGAAGTTATGATTTTCGGCTAGAGTGGCGACAGTAGGATCCCGGTTTGGGTGTCCATTATAAACCTCTGTGATCTCTAGCTGTAGTACTTACGAGTTTAGTCATCTTGAATTCGATTTTTTTTAATGATATTACTTTTTCCACTCGTCTACTTAAACATTTTTTGTTTTGTTATTTAATCGTAATTTAGTCGGTAGGAAAACATCTATAGTATTTGCCTTCTATTTATTGAATAGGTTTATGGTAAGCTCCATTTCATAATGTAACTCTCGTTTGATATGCTTTAAAGTAAATTTAATATTGGTGACTATATAAATGAAAAAAAGTTCCTTCGAATGTTAGTTGTAGGTGTGTTGTTCAGTTTTTACGTCCCATTGGAAATGGTTATTTTGCGAATGAATTGCTTTGTGCTTCTACCGCTAAGGATATTTTTATATCTATAATGCGTTTATGCCTACACGAGGGATCTGCGTGTATATTCGTGCTTCTAGCATGATGTGTAACATTTTACTTGTATTCATTTATATTAAATGTCATTTGTCAACTTTGGGCGATTTATTTAATAAACGTATTTCAATTATAACTCGTGGCTTAATGAATTCGCTGACCGATCATTTGGACGGTAGGTATGTCATAATTTACTACATAATCACCTTCTTTTCCTTGTGCAGGGTTTGTTTCAACAAACGATTTTTTTTGTGGGTTCATAGCTAGCTAGAAAGAAAATAACTTGCCATTGTTTATTTATTTTTATATATTGCATAACTATACAAAAAATAAACAGGTATAAACTGTTTCTCGTGCAATTGTAGAAATATTTAATTTTTGTAATTTTAAAAGGAGTTACGGTCCTTTTCTTTAAAAAATATTTTTATAAAAGCAGCGTTTTTATAATACACTAGCGGAAAAGTCATGGGGTGATTTCATATCCTAAAGTTTTATGATTTTTCAGGATTGTTAGAAATTTATTTTCGGTTTCAGATGCACAAATCAAAAACTAATTATTAATGCATTAAAAAAGACACTTTTTGTTTTTTAATACAGAAAATTTTTTCAGTGATTGCCAATCTGGTTTTCGGAAAGGCCATTCGACGGAAGAAGCTATGATGTTTTTATATCCATTTGTTTTATCTCGTTTAGAAGAGAATAGTAAATCTCTGTTTCTCTTTTTTATATCTAAGTAGAGCTTTTGAAGGGATAGGTATTATTATAGAGCTTATTATCTATTTAATTTTACCATATTTTATATGACATTATCCTATACATTGTTGTTAAAAGTCAATGAAACTAAAAATTTAAAATGTCTAATTGACTAAAATATTTCAGAATTTTTTAGCAATACGAGTTGTAACACAAGAAATGCATCAAATTAAATTTACTTTAAGTTCTGTCCTATAAATAAAAATATTTTGCAATTACGAGTAAAAACAATGAGTACACTTAACCAAGTTGGTTTTCCAAACACTTATAGAAGTTGTCATTGCAAGGATTATTTTGTAACCTTTAACTAATACTATGTTAGCCAACCAATACTAACCTGGCAAACTCAATTAATTTTGCAATGCTTTTTGGTAATTGTTTTTAGTAACCCCTCAATATTGGTTGTTTCATGCAGAAATAGCTTGAAATGAAGCACTTAGTGTATACAAAAGAATTGTCATCTACTGTCTAATTTATAAAAACCTGTGAGACACCAATGTTAATTAATATTTTGATGAGACGTTTTTTTCACCTCGTGTCGCAGCATTTTTCAAAGAATTTCTTAACAATGGCGCTGATGGAATTCACACGTATCTGCATATATAAATGTCAAATGCGATATCGGAAGGCCAAATTCACGTACCTGACCATTTTAAACTACAAATCGAATTTTAGGTATCCGCATTTGATTCGACGGAACTTTCAGAAGTAATAGATAGTTTCGTATACCTCGACGTAACCTGGACCGTGTGCAAAAAGTTCAGTATTAGAGTCATTCAACTTGTTCATTAGCAGCAATAAGATGTAACTGCTATTTTTTTTTAAATCTTTTAGCCAATGTATCCTAAAGAGCTCGATATACATTATTTCAAACTCTCTTACTCTCTTATGTAAAACAGCAAAAATAACATTGAACGCCGCTAAATCGTCAAATTCTATTCAAATTTCCAACCTTGATATCACCTACTCTATAGGCGTTGGGCTCATAGGTGTAACTCCCATTGTTTTACAGTACTATTACAATCGGTTTAGATTTTTTTGTCGTGTAATCCCGTGATTCTACGTTCTCCATCTTATTAGCGACATTCCGAATAATATGACACACACCAATAAAAAATGGTTTAAGAATCGAATAACATAAAAAGCAGTCCAATAAGTAGCAAAGAGTGATTTTATAGGAAAATAGGGCAGGATTAGTTTACAATGCGAATGCCTAGATTTTTTTTTGTCTTTTCGATTTTCGATACGTAACTTCGATCGGTACTGAAACTGTTTCAGTAAAGCTCTCTGAAGAAGGCAACAGGATGATTGGCGAAACGTCAGCAACTTCGATTCCTGAACCGACGCAGGAGGAATCCAGAAGATTTTTAAATAGTATTTAACTTTTTTCTTCGACAAGAAATCGGCCGTTAATTTCAGTTGTCGTAACTAGTAAGTAAAACATTCGAAATAAATTATTACTTTCAAAAGCTCTTAGTTTTGTAGCAGAAGCTCGTTACTTTTTACAAAACATCTGGATTCCTCCTGCTTCGGTTTTTGCTGAGTCGAACTGTTGGATTTTTCAGCAAAAACCGACTCAGGAGGAATCCAGAAGTTTTGTAAAAAGTATTACAGTAGCGTGTCGAAGTTTCTTTGAAAAATTAAAAGCTTGTTTTTCTAAATTATGTGAAAAATGGTCCAACCTAACCATTGACGATCATACCATGTCATATTTAGCACAAGTTACAGCAGATTACGCTTGCCATTTGAACGAAAAAATGTTATCTCGAATTGTTTCAAGTTATTTAAAATTATGTTCAACAATGTTGTTATGTTATGTTCAACAATGTTCGTTGAATCCAAGTCCAACTGTATCACCATTGAGAAGAGAAATTATGTGTTTATAGTTTTTGCGAAATGTGATGACATTTAATTAAAGAAATAATAGATTTTGTAGTTTGGTCAAAAAATGTCCAATATTACTCTTGGTTACTTACTCTTCCAATTTCCAACAAAATACATACGTTGGCATGGCGATCTGTCAATAAAAATCAATTCTAATTGCTTAAATACTGCTGGTGTAGAATTTTCACAGGTACTATCAGTAGAGGTCAAATTATGTCCGGATTTCATTTGGCCTCGTATTGTATTCGGCAAGAAAATTCCACACCAAACTGTGCTCAAAAATCAAATAATTAAAATTTATTTTGTAAAAGTAAAACGTAGGTTTGGTCGACTTAATTATTTAGTTACCATGGAAACGTCACAATAATTTCAGGACAATTCCCTGTTGGGTAGCCACGAGGGAAAAATGTCCACTAAAATTCATCCGTTGCCATGATGATGTGCGAAAAAAACACGTATTGATTGGTTAAAAATTAGGACTGTGGAATTTTCTAAATAATTTTGATTAGAATAATGATTATTGTTAAAATTCTTGAATTGAGTTCACGATTAGTAAGTACCTGCCAGTAAGTTTTACTAATGTATGTCATATGTATAAAAAATATAAATGAAAAGTAATGATAACAAGGAAAAAAAAGTTTAGGTAAAGATTCATATTCAACTATTGACTAAACTAAAATTCCGGAGTTAATCAACCAGCGTTTGATCACTGAAAAAAGAATAATTAATCTTTCTAGCTAGACTACCATTTTCGCGAGGGCACCCGTCAAAGAATTATAATTGTTCCAGAACGAGTTAACAAGTTCTCCAGGTACAAAACATTTCGTTCGAACGGGAATTGCACAATAGCAATAATTATAATTATGGAGGACTTGGTCGGAATGCTCCCGGCAAGGCAGTTTGGCGACCTCGATTGGTGTATTATCGTCAAAAGTGGATCGGGTTAAACGAAACGAATGCTATTCAAATTTCGTTTCACACTTGACGCCCATCGATAAAAAGCGATTAACATAAAACGCTGTCGGAAACAAATTATGCTTGACACCGAACCCTCCAAGCGCTAACAAATAAGTAATTGCCTAAGGTCAATGGGGGTACTTTCGTCAGCTTAACGATTTGGCTTCGTAAGTTCTCATTTTAATTGTTTCTTTTCTTTTGTGAATATGAAAATTCTTGTAATGTTTTCTATAGTTCACTTGATTAACAATTCAATGATCCTATGTTGGTTATTTTTTTGTAATTAAAAAATTAGTGTTCCTTACTTATTTTCAAGTTTTTGCGACTTACATACAGTACAGTACATACAAGGCTTTTTGAGAAATTTTCCAGTGTTGGGAAAAAGTCTATTTCTTATATTTTCAGTTCTTACTATTTTACATGGTGGACAATTTAGCGCAAAATGTGCTGGGGATATGAAATATTTGAATATTTGACAAAATGAAAGAAATATTATTTACAATTTTATGAAGAGACATTATATCTGCCAGCTTTCTTCTATTCATTAATTAATATATTTACGAGCAGAGCTATAATTACGGTTCTGGATTATGAAATATTCCTTAAATGAAATAAATTTTATTGGCGTATTTTGAACCAATTCCATGCTATTTTTGTTTCTCGAATCTCTGGAAACATTAGCGGTATTACCCAATAACCCAACTTCATCTGAGTAAAATAAGTCAATATGCATGTCAAACCTTAGTTATTTCTAATGCTCAAATTTAAGGAAAAAAGGTCCGGAGTATATTAAGAGCGATCTGAATTTTTCTGTCTTCGACACCCGAATCGGGTCTGTACAATTACAAGTAGCCAGCGAACTTTCCGAAAAGCAATCTTTTATTTGATCGATATAAATGATAAATAGTAAGGGTCTCAGATGGGAACCCTGCGGAAGGTTAGGGGAGACGGTAAGGCGTAAAGGGTTCGGATTTAAAACCCTGAAGTGAGATATATATTCTTCAACTTTTAAGATATATTATTGCTCTAGAAGTTCTGTGAAGTTTGAACATCGTAGAATATCCGAAGTTCCAAAATTAAATTGGTAATTCGTTGTAATATCGATTATTGAGTCTAACGCAGAACACAAATAAACAGACAGAGAAACATTACATTAATTCCTTGTTTTACATCTTTTCAAGTTTTTTTAATAGAGCAGATTACTTATGGAACCCGATGACGTTATCCCCACCGGCAAAATTGTTTCCGCTTGAATCAATGCATAAATCAAATGAACAAATACATGAAGTTGTATCTACTCAGTAGGTTAACAAAACGTTTTTCATTTTTTGGAAGCATCCCTACTTTTGCTTGTTTTTTTCCAGTTCTGCTCAAATTCTGCAACTTTTCTAAAGCGTTTTTTTTTAAACTGAAATTAGCAATAGCACAAGCAAAGATTTAGTTTTCGGCATTTCAAAATAGTCAACAGGATTATTGATTCATCGGAATTCAACTGAGGCGATGTAAAAGTAAAGTAAACAATACGAAGTCTCGTGTTGCAGTATGTGCTTAGGTGAGAATACACACATCACAGTGTCAAACATTATATTATATCTATATCCTTCTATTTCTTCTCTTCTTGAAAAAATCTGACTATATCATTTCATATAGTTTTGTTAAATTTATACCATACAAATAACAATAAGTTTTTGTTGTTTAAAAACATATCGGCTTCCACAGCACATTTTTTATCATTATTAGATAATATCAACCATGAACAGGGGTTTAAATTAAAAATTATCTTAACGGTCTCAATTTTTTTAAGATTGCGATGTTACCCCACTGGACAAATTTCCTAGCGTGAATCGAACCGTTCAATCTAATAATAAGCGAGTATCTCACTTCGACAATCGCACAGCAATTCAACCCACCCACCGCAATCGTTCACTCAAGTTTCAAAAAAATCGTAAAATGCCACTTTGTATGGGGACGCGAAGCACAATTTTCGCGGCTTTCTTTGTTGATCAATGGCATTAAGTAATTTTTGCTCTCGAATGGGCGGCAACCCGACAAACAGGCGTCGGTCTAATGCAGCAATAAATTTTTTATCGACGTTAAATTAAAACGGGTGTTCCTGCATGTAAATAGTTTAGCTCGAAGTATGTTACTGACGGAACTTCGTATCTTCTACTGCGTTCCCGTTCCATCGTACTTTTGTACATATACTGAAACTTGTTAAATTACAATTATAATTACAATCTCGGTCTACAGTTTTGGTTAGTTTGGTTAGTGGTTTGTTTAATGGCGGAATTAGATCAGCACAAAGTAGATTTTGTCAGTAGATACTTAAGAAAACTTTAAATACAATATGGATGTTTTCATTTTCGAGATATTATAGAAACTAATATTTTGTTCGATGGGACTCCTCGACCGAAATAAAGACCTTCTCTTTTTAGAAGACCAGCCACATTTGGCAATTGTAGCCCTTGAGGATGAAGAGGACTGGACCCTTATCTAATCTGATAACAAGTGAATCATCGCTGGCGAATTGAGAAGAGCGATTGAATCGTATCCTTCGTACTACATGGGTATCAGTAGCAACCATAAATATGGGATACAGCATGAGCAACAAACGTATCAACATGGTATGCTACGCCGACGATGCAGCAATTTTCGCAGAAAACGAGAACGACCTACAAAGACAGCTATTCAAGTTCTATCAAGTGTGCCGACAACTTAATATGACCATATCGGTCGAGAAAACAAAAAGCATGGCAATCACCAGGGAACCAATCAGATGCAAGCTCGTAATTGAAAATAAGACCATAGAACAGGTAATGCAATTTTAGTACCTTGGGATGAACATGTCTAGCGGCCACGACCCAACAAAAGATCTAAGGGACCAAATTAACAAAGCATCAGCAACTTCAGGTTGCCTAAGAGAGATTGTCTAGGCCAACGATACATGCGGAAGGACAGTAAGATTAAAATATACAAAACATGCGTTAGACCAATAATGGCGTACGCGATAGAAACAAGAGAAGACACGAACAAAACAAAGAGAATGCTGCACGTAGCCGAGATGAGGGTGCTGAGATCAATAGCTGGCAAAACCAGAAGAGACCATGTAAGAAACACCGACATAAGAGAACAATGCGACGTACAGGATATTGTAATATAGGGAAGGCAGAGAAGAAGGCAATGGTATAACCACGTCAAGAGGATGGGCGAAGATAGATTACCCCGCATAACTCTCGAGGGAATACCAGTAGGAAGTCGTCCTCCCCGTAGACCGCCGAAGAGGTGGAGAGACAGCTGGCAGTCCACATCTCAAGAATTAATACAACGGCAAGCCCGGAATTAACATTTGATCTCAACCAAGTAGTAGAAGAAGAAGAAGAATATTTACAAAAATATATCAAATCGTTCTTTTTCTAACAGCCAGGATGTACAAGATAGGAAAAAAATATTAGTTAGTTGATCTGTAGGAAAATCGTTCTTTGGTTCAAGAATTGCAATCTTCACGTAAAAAGGCATAATATTTTTAAATGTACATGAAGTTACCTCGAACACAATTCTTGGTATAATTAAATAAACGATCTTATGGTAAATTAGCGTTTTATTTCTTTGTTTAGTGATGTAATACAACTTTATTTACCTCTAGGCAAATTCAAATCTATGATCTGTATTCAGTAATAACGGATGTAAGGTTTTTAAAAAGACTGATACTATAGGAAACTGGCTTTACATATTCAGTAGAAAACTGACCTATAATGAAGTTTAGATCGTCAAGATAATAAGGAACGTGTTCGAAGAATATGGAATCCCTTTAGACAAGAAAATCGTATAATTAATTTGCGAAATAACGCCTTTAGCTAGCTGGATATTAAAAAAAAATCGTACATTTCGGAAAACGTATTTATCCCAATTTCAACGTCTTTTGAAATACGCATAGCTAGACCCAGTTGTTAACGACGAACGTATCTTAAACGAGCCTTGAACGTGCAAATGCTCCTCCCTATAAACAAAACAATTTCACGGAAATTACGTCAAAGTGCATTAAATTAGGTACGACAATGAAACTAGGAGTTGCGCATAAAAATGCACAATAGCCATCGACGGGGCAGAGGCACGTATTTAACTCACGACTCGTTTTCGCAGTGGGCACGGACAAACCAGCTCTTGTGCCTTTTTTTAAGTTGCCACAAATTAGAATAAAACGCAGTTGCGAAAATAATATTTTTGGGAAGCAATTTATATTCTAATAGCGTTAGATGAATTTAGAGAAGCTATAGCAATGTTAAATAAAAAAAATTAAAAAACAAAAGCAAGAATTAGTTTTCAAATGTCGTAGATATGCTCTAATTTTGTTTAACAGTATTTAACACGGGCGTCGGGGAGTTTTTTCAATATTTAGAAAAAAATGGAAAAAGTTGAAAAATGAGAAAATCCATTATTTGTTTTGGTTAATCTGCAGTAGTGCATAGGGTAAATTGAAAATACTATCCAATACTTTTTCATTTTAAGTTAGTAATATAACATAAAACCCTAGTTGAAGCTTCGGTTATGACATTTATAGTGTTTATCTTTACAATGATTGGAAACCAGTATTATTCTTCATTCCTCCTGTAACATTGTAGCAAAAGGTTGCCCAATAAACTTTGCCCTTTTTTTTGCAAATGACATAAACATTTCTGAGCGAATATGTTTCTCGCCTTGATAAAAAACTAAGATTTTTAATTTATAATTCCTCAGATATGTTAAATATGCCTTATATATAGAGCAAGGCTAATCACCATAATAACAAAAAGGCCAAGCTCTGCAGGGCGATAAAAACAGACGAAGTTCTAGGGCTATCACACCCAAGTACTGCTTTCTCAAACATTACAGGATCCAAAACCCCATCAGAGAAGACTACAAAAACGGCTTGCCAGTAAGGGCAGACGATTCGAAAACTAAAGAAGGTGTAGGAGCTGGAATATATGAATTCATGACGAAAATAGATTGTATTCCAATGGACAAAACAGCGGTTATTACAGCACTAGAAGACTGTGGAGCAGAAATGATGCGGGATTAACTAGTGTGATTATGATAAATTGATAAACTTTTATGTGCAAAGTGAAAAAAATATTATTTGGTGACTTGGCATTGGATATAGTAACCTATTCGAACGGACGAAGTCGGAAATAGTAAAAATGCTTTCTCTTTATGTGTTTGGTCGGCAGTGGCATTAGCTATATACATCTGATATTTTAAAATCTTAAAATTATTGTAACATATGCAATCAGTTTCATGTTGATCAAACGAAGACGAAAAAGATTCTTAATAAAACAATTCCGTTCTACACTCACAGTCAAGCGTCAATAAAAACTATGCGTTCCAGCAAAATAACATCCAGATTAGTTTTTGATTACCATAAGGCAATTAACGAGGTAGCAAGCCAGAACAAAGTATGTCACAATAGTCACAAAACCCAAACCCACAATCTGCTGTCAAAAAATAGATGGAAAGAGGGGCTCGGAAATAGTGGAGGGGCATATCATGACAGAGACAAGCCAATTGGTCAGTGGTTCATCAGCTAAGTTTATAACAGACCTGCAAATTTATAAATAAAAGAAAGGTCGTACTAATGCATCTAATCTGCTTAGCATGCATCTAAACCTAATGGGAGTGGGGGAAAACACTGAATGCGGATTCTGCCAAGAAGAGGAGGAAACATCTACACGCTATAGCAATGGCCTATCGATAGGCTGCTACGCGTCACCAAAGTAGCGGCAACGACCCGCACCAAGGAGCCACCATGAATGCTGAGCAGTCTAATCAGAGAGACGAACCTAGATAAAGCTCTATAGCTATGGAGAGAGGGTCATTTGCTAACTCTGCCAACTCTAAATCTTAATGAAACTGATGTATTGCGAAGAAGACAATCTCATAGGCAAATCCATTTGACCCAAAAGCCCCAGACTCCAGGCCAAAATCAATCACCATGCGAAACGTCAGCTTTTCTAATAAATAACGCCGACATTCCATTTACAATCATTATCGTCTAATTGCATTGCAAATTTGATTCTTGGCATTCCGGTGCGTCAATTTAATTTAAAAGGTAAATATATCACGAAAACAAAAAAAAATCTTTGCCCGTCGTAAACTAGGAAACAGAAATTACTGTCTTCAAATAAAGCGATAAAGCTCGTTTTACACAACAAAGCAAATTTTTATTGTCGTTTTAATGCGACCGGCCGTTTTGCAATGTCAGTGTCACTTGACTGGGTTTCGCCGGACAGGCCTGCGGACAGCTTTATTGTAATAGCTTAAAATCGAAATTGTTATTACCAGGAATAATAATACGGTAGGCGGTAAACCCTAATACGTAAATTGAAAATTGTTAACAAATTATTCTATTATGATTTTATTGGCCGTTATCTCGATCTTTTGTTGTAAATATCTTTTATCGGGCAACAGATCTGTTAGTATACAAATAGACAAGGCTGACTGGAATTAATACGCAATTACTGTGGCTCGATGATCTATAAGCATTCATCAACAAGCCTGATTGGAATTGAACAGCGGGACAACATTTCATTTCCACGTTGGTCATATTGTTCTTTGGGTTCAGAAATTTTTGGTTTCATAGGCGAAGTTTCGATAATGGCGATATGGTCACAGCCACCTTAAAAATGTTTTATGTTTTTAATAAATTGAAACTAGTCTTTTTTTATTATTAGTAATTTTCTATTATTTGTTTTTCAATTTAATTGTTTTATTTGGTAATTCTTTAATTAATAATCACTGTCCTTTGCTATCTGTCTGTGAGTAAATACGTATAGCAGAAATACGTATATTTTTATTATTATTATTTATTATTATTATTATTTATATTATTTATTATTATTTTATTATATGTATTATATAATTGTTCTCTACTTTAAGAAATCTAAAAATATTTGCTCTTTGTTGTTCTTGCTTGGTCACTTATAACAAAACGGCTACATCCCAAGACAAACAAAAATGATGCCTATAAGTAATTAAACTGCAACACAATAGACACATGAAAAACATTATCAATTATTGTAATTATTATTTTATTATTTGTAATGTTTGATTATCTATATTTTAGTTTTTCCAAAATCAGTTTTGACTGCTCAACGTACGATTTTTCTAAGCACACTTTCAGGGTATTTTTGCAAATGACAAAGATGCTTAACAGAAATATTCTGATTTTTTTTTTAAATGAATTTTTTGACATTATAAAACTATGGTATAATTGAAATTCGTTATTATTATATTATAAATTAGGGAAATATATAAAATTTAACCTTTTTTGAAACTATGCCCAGAGAGAGGTAAGTTTCCTGAATCAATTATTATATTTTGAAAAATTAATTAGATTCCTGCCTTTTTAATATAATTTTTCAATTCAAATTTTATACACCCTGACATTGATATTAATTCGTAGTTATAAAGTTTCATGAATATTTTTCATTTCTATCCAAAAATTATTCCGTACGTTAAGGAATCTAGGCATGTTTGTAGTTTGTTCTCACATACCCGTATTATCTCTAATGAAACGTAATTCATAATATGACAAGTGGACTAAACTTTATACTTAAACAAAAAGTGATGCCTATAAGTAATTATATGGCCCTATAAGCAAAATATTGATAAGGCGACAATGAAATAATGCTGTAGGAGAATGCATTAGGAGATTCAAAGATCGGGAATAGTATATTATGACGTGGAATGCGATGCTTCCCGCACGCTAGATCGGTGCGTAATTTGGTATTTGACAGACCGGAGCAGAAAAAAATCTTTTCAACATACTTTTTAACTCTCAGCGTAGGTTGTCGTCATTTTCATCGGAAAATTAAACCAAATGTGTTTCCGATTTAATACCGTAAACCATTCTTATGCAAATTTATAATAACAATTTACTTAAAGGCAGAAAGTAATTTTCATACATTCCCATAACCATTTGATATTTGAATAGGTTGAACGATTCTCCATATTATAATCTCATAGTATCGAGATGATCTACTTGTTATAGGGATTTAATTATAGTTGTTACTGTTATTTCTTTAACGTTTTGCTACTACTGAAGAGAAAATAAAAAAATTAAAAAAAATATCATAAAAAAATTTACAAGAATAAAAATTACAATAGAAAATACTTGAAATTTGTAATTGTAATAATAATGTAAACTATAACTAGAATATTAATTTGAATTTTGGAGAAAATTTAACTTGAACTGTACTATGACCCTGGCACTCAACTAAACTATAAACTATCCAAAGTTTTCTATATTTATAGTAGGAAATACAATCCTAGTACAGACGTATAATAATCCGAAACAGTCCGTTAAACAGAAATCATTGCAAAATTACATTTACTTTATGCGACTAAACGGATTTTAATTTATACTTATTTAACGAGCTAGCGACAAAAAATATATCGTAAATAAAACGTTTGATAAGGATATGATAAAATTTTATTTGCAACGATATATACCGTAATAAATAACCCAATGGAATGTTTCTGCCGACGTATCCTGTACGCGAACCCAGTGGAAAAAAAGAACGAAAGCCATTTTAGGTAAACACATTTAATCGCATAGTTAATGGGCCAAAAAAATTTGCTTTGCAATAGGAATCGCGACAAAATTAAACTTCAATGCGTTAATCGAATCATTTTACAGTTAAAATCCCCAATTTATTTTTTTTATGTACGCGACGTCGTACAAGAGGTTTAATTTATATTATATTTCTAAAACGATATTCTATATGCGCAGTTATATATAAGTAAGTATGTATACAGTGGAACTTTTTGCCCTGCAAAATATGTTTTCTTTGTATTGTATAGATTGCTTACTTAATGAACGCTTAGTTTGAAAAAAACGAAAAAATAATATTCAGGTAGTTAAATGACCTTAATTAATATTGAAACTCATGTTACGCGAAATACAATGTGACAGCTACGTGACAGATTGGAAATTAACTCCTGTTTCTTTTAATTTCTGAAGTCTCTATTGGCTTTTTATTTTCGAATTGGCATAGGTACCAAAAGAAAGTACTCGTCTACACTCGGTCTTTAAAACACTTGTTTTATTCTAGGATTTTTTTTTACAGGCCTTATTGACGTATCTTTTTTTGGATGGATATTGACTCACTAAAGCTATATGTTAAAAATATTTTCATGTTTTACAGAATGACCCAAATACACGAAAAGTTTTATTTTTAAAAGTTAGTATTTACATATGGTGTCTTAATAACTCTTTGTAGTAAAAATGTTAATTTGTTCATTGTCCATTTGAAGGAATGGGCTTCAAAGCGGTCTTTAAGGTCGCTTGACTTGACCCGACTTGGAACACTGGTATGATGGCAATGTTACTCTAGAAAAATGATATAAAAAATTGTTTGTTATATTTTCACCATTTTTATTAAATTTTCCTTCAAATCAATTCAAGAGTTTTACTTCAAAACGTGAAGAGTTATTGGGCGGTACAATAATATTCGATAGAAAACTACAATTAAACAAGTTTCTATCGTTTTAAAATAGTGATTATTTAATCTAAATTTTTAGAAACTGCAGAAGTTTTAATAAATTTTAATCATAAGATAAAATAATATTCCATTAAAAAAAAACACCTTTGATACTCTTCGTATTTTTAATATTTTTAAATTAGCCGTAATCCTCAATTCGAAATAAAAGGCTTATGTAAAATTAAACACTGTAAGCATAATATTTCGTGTCAATTAAACTAAATATTTTTTAAATTCTCTAAAACATCAAATTATGTCCGCAACAAGCCCGCGGAAGATCTCACTTCGACATGTCAACATCCTATATTTTAGTTACGGAGGTCGGATGCTTTCTGTGGATTTTAGGCGTGTTATTTTGACGTTTGTTAATTCTGATGGTCAAGTTATACGAATGAATTCCTGTTGTTTTGCAAAGATGTATGTTACGAAACGTTGATAAACTTGTTGAGTCACTTGTTCATTAAGTACGGGTCTGCTGCGGTTAGCTCTGGCCGTGACTAAAAAGGCGGTTATCAAACTTGTTGCATAATATACTATTAAC